AGATGGTTCTAGACTATTCTCAGTGGTGGAAGAGGACAGAACAAGGAGTAATGGTCTCAAGTTGCAGTGGGGGAGGTTTAGGTTGGATATTAGGAAAAACTTTTTTACTAGGAGGGTGGTGAAACACTGGAATGCGTTACCTAGGGAGGTGGTAGAATCTCCTTCCTTAGAGGTTTTTAAGGTCAGGCTTGACAAAGTCCTGGCTGGGATGATTTAATTGGGGATTGGTCCTGCTTTGAGCAGGGGGTTGGACTAGATGACGTCCTGAGGTCCCTTCCAACCCTGATATTCTATGATTCTATGATTCTATGATATTGTACCCCAGGTGATGTCACAGGGCCTTAGCTCTAGCTCCTGCACTTTTTTGATCCATCCTACCAGTCTCAGGGTTTATGTCCCCTATCTCTGTCCTTATCTAGGTTATTTTACTGCAAGATAATTCCCCCCACATTTCCCTTTCCTGCCTCCTATTTGCTGGTCCTTCTTCTGGTTCCAGAGAAACTTCCTCGATGATTTCCCTATATGTATGGTCTAGTTTCAGTTCTCTCATCCATCTCACCCTGCCAGCCAAACCTTAATCAGCAAGTAGCCATCCCCTGACCAGGAAGCAATCACCCCTGAGACAACCACTTTTCAGCCAGAACCTGGACACTTCCAACTGCTAGACTCACGAGGCCAATCAGGACTTGCTATAACCAGTGTCAGTCAGATTACTTGAGGCGTAACTTCCCATGGTGTTCAACAACTGCAGATTGTGTGTTACAGAGAGTAATCAGGTAGCAATGTGGGGCTGTGAGTTGCCTGCTAGCCCTATAGATGTGGGTTCAAGTCTCCCAAGCAGCAAAAAGGTGTTGCTCCCCACCTAGGTTCCCCTGTGAGGACAACTGTGTGCTTGGCAGGGAAAGGAAGCTTGGCTATAAACATTCAGCATAATGGCTGCCCACAGCTTAGATGGGGATTCTGAAGGTGTTGGGGTGCTGAGAGGATTTTATTTTCATAACTGAACAGAAAAAGGACAGGAGGTATTTGGGGAATAGGGCATCCCAGAAATTATGTGGCTTGAGGATGCATGTCAGCTGTATGTGGGTGTGGTCAGGGAGGTATTCCCCTTTTCAGCACAGGGCATTGACTGCCTTGCTCTGGGTTCCTGGGTGATAGGTGATGGTAAAATAAATATGTGTGAACAATGGGAACCACTGAAGCTGTCTTTGGTTCAGCACCTTTGCCCTATGGAGGTACTCCACGTTTTGGGGGTTGGGCACCTTCAAGATGGTGGCACCTTTCCCCAAAGGTGACTTTGATTGCTAGAATCTCATAATTTTGTTGTGCTAGTATGAGTTTCTGAGATTAATAGGTACAAGGGAGCAGGTGCTGTTGGGGCCAGATCCTTGGGAATGCATTGTCCCAATTGCAACATTACATGCATCAGTGCCAAATTTCCACATTGGGTCAGGATGGATCAGGACTTGAACACTAGTGAAGGCCATCTTTAGTTGAACAAACAACAATTGAGCCCCTGCAGACCAGGTGAAAGAGGTATACTTGCAGAGGAATGCTGTCAATGAGGCTATCTGATCTGAAAAAACAGGCAAGATAATAGAATATCAGGGTTGGAAGGGACCTCAGGAAGTCATCTAGTCCAACCCCCTGCTCAAAGCAGGACCCATCCTCAATTTTTGCCCCAGACCCCTAAATGGTCCCCTTGAGGATTGAACTCACAGCCCTGGGTTTAGCAGGCCAATGCTCAAACCACTGAGCTATCCCTCCCCACAAGTATAGTGAACTCAGGGAAGAGCTGCAGCTCCTTCATGTTCCGGGGGTGGCGCATCCAGGTCCAAACAGCATTCACCTTCCTGGGTTCCATTTAAAGACCCTCAGGACACAAGATGTTGTGATGAAATAGGGAATTTTCATATATTTTCAATTGTTTTCATGAAGTATGTGTGGGACTCGGTTTCCCTGTGTGTTGCTTGTTTAACAAGGTAGTGGGAGAGGGTTTTTGTTCTTGCAGAAGATCAGGGCTGAAGAGAGAAGTCTCCAGTGAGGTGACCAGCCAGTTTCAGCCAGTGGGGAAACAAATTAATTGGCTACTGTCGGAGGACAGGATACTGGGCTAGATGGATCTAACTGAATGGGGGAGGCAACATAGTCACAGATAATGTAGAAAAAGCTGATATACTCAATGCTTTTTTTGCCTTGGTCTTTACACACAAAGTCAGCTCCTAGACTGCTGCACTGGGCAATACAGTATGGGGAGGACGTGAGCAGCCCTCAGTGGTGAAAGAACAGGTTAAGGACTATTTAGAAATGCTGGACATGCAGAAGTCCATTGGTCCAGATCTAATGCATCCAATAGTGTTGGGGGAGTTGGCTGATGTGATTGCAGAGCCATTGGCCATTATCTCTGAAAATTTGTGGTGATCGGGGGAGGTCCCAGTTGATAGGAAAAAGGCAAATATAGTGCCCATATTTTAAAAAGGTAAGAAGGCAAACCCGGGGAACTACAGGCTGGTGAGCCTCACATCAGTCCCCGGACAAATCATGGAGCAGGTCATCAAGGAATTCATTTTGAAGCACTTGGCGGAGAGGAAGGTGATCAGGAACAGGCAACATGGATTCGCCAAGGGCAAGTCAAGCCTGACCAACTTGACTGCCTTCTATGATGAGATATGTGGATATTAGGAAAGCGGTAGATGTGATATATCTTGACTTTAGCAAAGCTTTTCATATGGTCTCCCACAGTATTCTTGCCAACAAGTTAAAGAAGTATGCATTGGATGAATGGACTATAAGGTTGGCAGAAAGCTGGCCTCAAAATTCCTGGGGCAACTCTGAAAATCTCAGCCTGGGGATCCCAATTCCACTGAAGTCACAGGGCTAGATTCTGGATTTATCACTCGGGGCCTGATTTTGCGAATCCTTTGCGGCCTGATTCCCAACTGTTCTACTCCAGGTTGAAGTCTATATGAGTCCACTGATTATGGATGGAGTTACACAGCACTAAATGCCCCAATAGCAACTATGTGGGTGAAACCAGACAATCATTATGCTCCTCAATGAACTCATACAGGAAAATGATAAAGGACAAAAACACCATGTGACCTGTAGGGAAATATTTTCACAAAGGGACCACTCCATATCTGACATCCAAGTCCTCATCCTCAATGGGAACTTTCGCAATACTTTCAAAAGATGCGCCTAGGAGCTGAAATTCATAACTGCTAGACACTAAATATCATGGACTGAATAAATACACTGGATTTATGACTTATTGCAACAATCTGTAACCCACTAACAACTGCCCCAGCTGCTTCCTCGTCATTTGATAGAGATTGGTTCATGAAAATTACTAGAAATGAAAAATTCTTTACTCATCAAGTCTAGTGATAAATTTCTCAGGCAATATTCCACCAGAAGCCATTAGAATTCTGTCCTGATCATCTGGTAGTGATCAGTTGGTGAAAACTACTAAAAATAGATATGGATTATGGATCTGTGCTAGTGATGAATTTTTCATTGAATCTTCATTACTTATCACTGCTAGGCATATATTTCCCATGGAATCATTAGCTAAAAGTGAGTAGGATTCTGTTCTGATCATTTAGTAGAGATTGGTGAAAATTACAAAAAAAGAGAAATTCATTACTAATCAGCACTAGGGATAAACATCTCATGGAATCTTCCTCTAAAGGCCATTAGGATTTTTATCTGACCATTTGGTAGTGATCGGCTGGAGAAAATTACTTAAAAACAGGTTCCTGATCAGTGCTAGTGATAAATCTCTCATAGAATATTCCTCCTAAAGCCATTAGGATTCCCTTCAGATTTTCTGGTAGAGATCGGTTGGTGAAAATTACAAAAAAGAGAAATTAATTACTGATCAGTGCTAGTGATGATTTTCTCATAGAATCTTCCTCTAAAAGCTATTAGGATTCTGTCCTGATCATTTGGTAGAGATTGGTTCATGAAAATTATAAAAATAGAGAAATTTCTTAATGATCAGTGGTAGTGATAAATTTACCATGGAATCTTCCTCCAAAAGCCGTTCGAATCATTGCATAGCAATCGGTTGGTGAAAATTCATTACTCATCAGTGCTAGTTTGTAATTTCTCATTGAATGTTCCTCTAAAAGCCATTAGGAGTCTTTCCTGATCATTTCTTAGTGATCACTTGGTGAACATTACTTAAAAATAGATATTGATTATGGATCAGCACTAGTGATTAATTTGTCGTTGAATCTTCTAAAATTTTTTATAATGGCTAATGGCTGGAGTGAACAAAAAGGAAAAAAAAACAAGGCAGCGGGGGGGTATTAACATTAGTAGCTACTGTTGGAGCAAGGAAATGATCCAACCCAGAGACTGTGCCAGCCTAAAAATCATGGAGTGCTACATAAAAGAGTTCCCCTTCTTTCCAATCTTTTTTCTCTCTCCCAGTCTCAAAGTAATCTCTCTGTTATTTTGCTGTATATTGTGTACATTACTCTCCTATTATTTTATTCCTTGTTTCTCTAGCTCCAGAACATGTGTGGCAGAAAGGTAAATGCTGAGATAGAGCAGTGGACCTGCACTCCACAAGATGGCTTGAAGCTCGGGTGGGAGGGAGCTCGCCTGCCATCTGTCCCTGACCACCAGGCCAGAGCTCTTGACCCAGTTTACCAGGGTGGAGAAGGCTGCCAAGTAGATGGCCTGGCAGGCCTCCACCCTCACCAGGTCACCGGGGTCCTGGACCATGAGGAGCACGTCATCGGCATACACCAACAGGACCAGCCGCAGCTCCAGCACCTGAAGCACTAACTCCGTCAACCTCCGGCAGAGGAGACAGAGGAAGGCTCCCATTCCTGGCCCTGCTCCAGCCCCCAATACATCACCCATCCTTCTCCCCTCCTCTTCCCATGCTGCTGCCACCCCCAAGGTTGTCTTGTTCCCATTGCCCATGGACAACTCTCATGGGGCAGTTTTCATATCTCCCCTTCCCGACCCTGTAGGGGCAGCACTCTTCAATCCTGCTCAACTTCTGAGTTGTCCCGGTCCTCAAGAGTAGTGTTGAAGTCCCCACCCAGGACCAGACACTCGTGAGGATCCAGAGTGCCAAGGAAGGCTGATGCCTGCTGATAAAAACGCACTTGTTCCGGGCCTGTGTTTGGGGTGTAGACGTTGACTAGATTTAATTCGAATGGGCGCTGAGGTGGCTAAAATATACCCTGTCCCCCCACTCCAGATGCCAGTTAACCTTGGTGGCTGGAGCCATGTGGGTCTCCTGCAGGAAAACCACAAAATACTCCACCTCCCAAAAGAAGGAGAGCACCTGGCTCCTGCGGAGACCCACCCTACAGCCTCGGGTGTTCAAGATGGCAAAGATGGTGACTTTCATAAGGAAGGCTGGGTTGGATCATAGAATCATCGAATCATAGAATATCAGGGTTGGAAGGGACCCCAGAAGGTCATCTAGTCCAACCCCCTGCTCGAAGCAGGACCAATTCCCAGTTAAATCATCCCAGCCAGGATGGGCAGGGGAGTTGATGGCACCCAGCAGGTCCGCATCAACCTGGTTTCAACCCCAAAGGTCAGCAGGTAGTTGCAGAACTTACAAAACTCCCAGTCCCTCTCCCCACCCCAAAAAGGGCCCTCATGGACCAAAGCGGGGGCTGCAGCATGGGGTAGGAGGGAGGGAGGAGAAGGGACTAAGCCACCACGCAGATTGAGGCCCACTGGCAGGGAGTTGTCATCCCCCTGCATGATTGAGGTCTGACCCAGGGCCTCGATCTTCTTGAAGATAGAGATAAAATCAGTCCCCACGGCCCCAGGGTCCTTCCTGGCAGTAACCGCGGCAACAATTGCCTCAGCAGCAGTGGCAGTGGAGGGCACAGGTGACAAAGGAGCCAGGGGAATTCCAGCAGAGGCTCCCTGAGGGGGCTTAGCAGGAAGGGTGGTATTGCCCCCGTCCACTGCCATAGCGTCTACTGCCAGCGCCTCCTGCTGGGCTCTGTCAGTGGTCTCGGTGGAACGTTTAGCAACATCAGCCCCCCTCAGTATTTTTCAGGGGGCCTCCTCTCCCTCCTTGTTGGAGGGGTGGGATTGGACCTGCAACTTGTGGGTGCTACACTTTCCCCGGACAATCACCAAGCCTTTCAAGGTGGAGGTAGTGTGCCGGTCAGCAGGGGCAGAGCCAGGGGGCAAGTGTGATGGTTCTGGGCCATGGGGCAGCAAGGGTGGGCAGCAGAGGGAAGGGAAACCTCCCCCAGGGGCAGGCCCTTTCTCTTGCCTGGCAATAATCTTGCCACCCTTTCCTCCAAACTGCAGCTGACTGAGATGCGGCTTGTGTGGGTGTGGCAGGGGGGGCTGCCCCCGGGGCCCGAGAGGGGGCAATAGCAGGAGGAGGAGGGACATCATCAGTAGCCAGGCCACCAGGTTCCTCAGCATTGGTGGGACCAGTGCCCTCCTGGGTCCCAGGAATCCCAGGCATCCCTCTAGGCTGGGCCAGGGGGCAGTCCCTCTGGATGTGCCCCATCACCTGGCAGAGGAAGCACCGGGAATCCCCCATTGAGTAGTGGACCCGGTAATGGGCCCCCTGGTAGGGCACCAGGAAGGACCCCTCAAGCACCACCCCATCATATGCCTCTGGCAGCAATTGGATTTGCACCAGCCGGCAGAAGGATAAATGTGACAGAAGGGGGTGTGTGACGTTATTGACATAATCTGGGACCGTATAGAGCATCGTTGCATTGGACTAGCTGGTTCAGCACCAGTGTTGTCCCTCGCAGGGAGAGACACCAGAGCAGTCCTGTCCATCTCTGCAGCCACTCACCTACTCTTGCCTCCAAATCCTGCCAGTTCTCCGGCAGAGTAGGATGCGTGGCAGAAAGGTAAATGCCAAGATAGAGCAGCAGACCCACGCTCCACTGGATGGCTTGAAGCTCGGGTGGGAGGGAGTTTGCCTGCCACCTGTCCCTGACCACTGGCCAGAGCTCTTGACCCAGTTGACCCAGGCAGAGGAGGCCACCGAGTAAACGGCCTGGCAGGTCTCCACCCTCACGAGGTCACCCAGGTCCTGGACCACGAGGAGCACATCAATGGCATACGCCAACAGGACCAGCTGCAGCTCCAGCTTCCAAAGAATCAACCCTGTCAACCTCCGGTAAAGTAGACAGAGGAAGGGCTCAATCACCAGAGCATACTGCTGGCACAAGAGGGGGCACCCCTGCTTTACTCCCTGCCAGAAGCTCATTGGCTCGGTCAGGGTCCAGTTAAGCCTTACCAGACACTCTTCCTTAGCGTACAACACCTGGAGAAAGCCCACAAACTGGGGACTGAAACAGAATGCCTGCAGCGTGCCCAGGAGATAGCCATGGTCCATCCTATCAAATGCCTTCTCCTGGTCCAGGGACAGGAGGGTGAATGACAGACCATCCCTACGCCCCAGCTCCAAGAGGTCCCAGACCAAGTACAGGTTATCGATGATGGTCCGGCCCAGGACAGTGTAGATCTGGTCGGGATGGACCACGTCTGCCAGCACGGACCCCAGCCAGAGTGAGATGGCCTTTGCTACGACGTTGTAGTCCATGCTGAGGAGCAAGATGGGATGCCAGTTCCGTAGGTCACGAAGGTCCCACTTCTTCAGCAATAAGGCGAGCATGGTTTTCAAGGACTTTTCAAGGACTCGGCCCAGATGCTGACGAGGTCTGGGCCGAGGACATCCCAGAACATGCGGTAGAACTCCATGGTCAGCCCATCCATTCCCGGAGATGTGTTGGTGGGCATAAGACGGAGGGCTTCCAAGAGCTTGGCCACAGAGAGAGGCAGCTCCAGCTGGTCTCAGTCGCCCACGCTGACCGTCGGGAGTTCGGTGCAGAGCACCCTGCATGCTTTGGTGTCGGTCAGATCCGGGGAGAAAGGGCTGGTGTAGAAAGCCCTGGCCCTTCCATGCATCTCCTCCGGATCCGTGAGGGGGTGCCATCCTCTGCCAGGGGGCAGGTGACATGCTTTTTGGCCCCCTTCTCTTTTTCTTGAGAGCATAGAAGAAGCGGGAGCCATGATCCATCTACCAAAGGAGAGGGATGCGGGATCAAATGAAGGCCCGGAGCTTCTCCTGCTTCTCCCAGTATACTGCGCAGAGGGGTGGATCCTGGGGGCCGGAGACCAGATACCTCTCTAGCTCTAATACCTCCTGCTCCAAATGCCCTATCACCACATCCCTCTGCTGGCTGACACCCCGGGTGTAGTAGCGGCGGAAGAGCCTTGCACGCACTTTCCCCACATCTCACCACCACCTTGTCAAGGGAAAGGCATGCCGCTGCCACCACCAGGCCAGCCAGAACTCCCAGAAGGATGCCACAAAGCCCACATACTCCAGCAAGCTGTTATTAAAATGCCAATAGGACAGCCCCAGTCTCTCCAAGCTGAGAGAGACCATCACAGTTGTGATATTGCACCCCAGAATGCTTTATGGGAATATGACATAATGGGAATATGTTTTATCCTATGTATGCTATGTAGCATATCTCTGCAAAGGTTATGATCTACTGAATATATTTATCCTATTAGTATGCATGTGTCATTTTTGTACTCGAAGTTATGAATATTGGCTATGTACTTGCTTAATTTTAAATAGCCTCAGTGAAGTAGTTGGTCAGCTTCCTGAGAAAAGACTGTTCTCAGTAAGTGCCCAATCAAGAAACACTTAAGCCACCAAAGAACTTGGAGAAGCCAATCCACATCTGAGCTTTCCCAGGAATGTGGCTTGGCTGGTAAGGAACACAGTCATGCATGGACATGTGACTTGCCCATGTGATGCCAAAACTCTGTCCTGTAGCTAGGATTCTACACAGGGGATGGAGGGGTGTCCACCCACAAGAGAAAGTCTATTTAAACCCCTGGGAGACCCCTCCATTTTGTCTTCAGATGGCTCAAGAGATAGCCTCTCCACCCCCAAGGATACCTGAAAGAAACTGGAACAAAGGACAGTAACTACAGGGGGTGTGAGTGACTGCTGCACCCAGACTAGAAGGAGTCTACTCTGTAAAAGGAAGCTTATTGGAACACCTCTGAGGGTGAGGTTTTATTTGTATTCAGTTTCCTTACTCTATTAGTCATAGACTTGCATGTTCTATTTTACTTTGCTTGGTAATTCACTTTGTTCTGTCTGTTACTACTTGGAACCACTTAAATCCTACTTTCTGTATTTATTAAAATCACATTTTACTTATTATTTAACCCAGAGTATCTATGAATCCCTAGGGTTGGGGTGGGGGGTAATCAGCTGTGCATATCTCTCTATCAGTGCTATAGAGGGCAAACAATTTATGAGTTTAACCTGTATAACCTTTATACAGGGCAAAACAGATTTATTTGGGGTTTGGACCCCATTGGGAGTTGGGCATCTGAGTGTTAAAGACAGAAACACTTCTTAAGTTGTTTTCAGTTAAGCTTACAGTTTGTGGGATGTGGTTCAGAGGTGGGTCTGTGTTTGTGGCAGGCAAGCATGTCTGGCAGAGCCAGGCAGAGCTCTGGAGTCCCAAGCTGGCAGGGAAGACAGGGGCAGAAGTAGCCTTGGCACATCAATTGGCAGCCCCAAGGGGGTTTCTGTGATCCAACCCGTTACAATGGTCACCAAGTGGCGATCATAGAATCATAGAATATCAGGGTTGGAAGGGACCTCAGGAGATCATCTAGAACAACCCCCTGCTCAAAGTAGGACCAATCCCCAATTTTTGCCCCATATCCCTAAATGGCCCCCTCAAGGATTGAACTCACAACCCTGGGTTTAGCAGGCCAAAGCTCAAACCACTGAGCTATCCCCCCCCCCCCCGCTGCCCACCCCGAGAATGGGGCCAGCCGAATGCCAGAGGTGTGAGCCCTCGCCAGATTGAAACATAACAAATTTATACAGTCCAACCAGGAGTGGCACAACTGATCGTCCTCCACCCATACATAGGTAAAGGTACCTTTACAAAGGTAAAGGGGGCAGTCCCTCCAGACGTGCCCCACCGCCCGGCAGAGGAAGCACTGGGCCTCCCCCATTGTATAGTGGACCAGGTAGTGGGCCCCCGGTAAAGCACCAAGAAGGACCCCTGGAGCTACACCCCATCACGTGCTGCTGGCCACAGTTGGATTTGCACCTGCCGGCGGAAGGATAGAACGTGATGGAGGGCGGGGTCCTTACAGCCTAGCGGGAGAGTGCTGATGACTGAGATGGGCTTCCCCAGAGTACAGAGGGCAGGCAAGAGTGCAGCGTTGGGGAGGAAGGGTGGGACGGAGGTCAGCACCACCCACATGCCCAGGTCCTCCAGGAGTTTTAGGGGGATGAACACCTCCCCCCTCGCCCCAGCCAGGCCCTGCTATATCGCCTCCTGAGTGGCAGCCTCCAACACTGGGAAGAACATAACTTTTCCATTCATTTGGGAGGCCACCACTATGGCCGTGGGCCCCACCATCCTCACCAACACCCACAAGTAAGTTTCGACGTGGGGTGAGGGGCACCACAAGGCAGTGGACGCCATGCCTCCCGGTCAGCAAGGGGAAAGGACCCCGGCCACCAGGGATGGTACCAGAGGTGGCAGTTGGGATGGATGATGCAGTGGTGCATGGAGGGACGTCAGCCACCTGCGTGTTCGCTCTGGGGACTTGAGATGGAGCGCCCCAAGGTGGTGGAAGGAATGGCAGGGGATGGAGGGGTTGTGGCAGGTGTCGGGGCCACAGCGGGGAGGAAAGCGCCACCCGCAGGAGATTTTGCTTTCTGGGCAGGGCCTTTGCCCTTCTTGTTCCCATGGCCCTTTTTGCCAGTGGAAGTGAGGCCATGGCAGTGGTGGAGTCTGGACCGGTGGTGGCCTAGAAGTCAGCGGCAGAAGTGGGCAGGGACAGTGGGAAAGTGGGGACTAAAGGGTCAGCAGGAGCAGGGGTAGGAGCAGGAACAGGAGGAGGGTCCAGTGGGAGGGGTGCGTAGATGGGGAACAGAGTAACCACTCCTCCCTGCTAGGCTGTGTTCAGGTAAGGAGGGAATCAGTGCGGGGGACTACAAGGGCACCAGGGTAAAGCGAAGAAGCAACCACTCCTCCCCGCTAGGCTGCAGGCAGAGGAGGAGGGCACCAGCGGGGATGCAGGGGCAAAAATGGGGCACAGTTACAAGGTAGGGATACCGGCTCTTCTGACTGCACTGGGAAGGGGAGGAACTACAGTATCATCAGGAAGGCTGTGAATAGTGGGGGGACTGAAAGGGGGCACAAGCACTGACGGAGGGGGCATGGGCGCACAGGGAAGAGGGCCTGAGCTGGGGGGAGCAAGGGAGGGCACAGGAAAAAGTAGGGCCAGGCAAATCACAGGAGGGAGCTTCAAGTGTAAGGGTAACCAAACCAAAACCCAAAGTTTGGGGCAGGGCAGGGAGCAAACACCAAAGGACTGCGGCGGGACAGGCAAACTAACAATAAGGGAAACTCCCAGAGGGTCACAGGAAGTGGCAGGTGGGGCAGGCTGCAAGGGAGAAGGGGCAAACTAACACAGGGAGGCTGGGGGGCACAGCAGGGAGGGGGGCCCACCAGCCAAATGCAGCTGGGGGGAGGATAAGTCCAAGGTGGGGAGGCACGTGTGCACATTGTGCTTGTGTAACTCAGTCATTGCTGCTCACTGCTGCGAACAGTCCCAGGTGGTGAAAGGGGGAGAACGAACAGCATGGTAAGGAGTGAAGAGCGGGTCTAGTTGGTATGCTGGGTGGTGGAGAGGGCAGTGTTGGCAGTGGGGGTGGAGGTACGGGGGAGCAGATGGATGTAAGGAAGGGCTCCATGCCTCTCCCCCTTGCTCACCACAACAGCAATGAAAGTCGCCACCACCGCAGGAGCAGAGATGTTAAAAGTCACTCGCTTTGTGAACAAAGCCCCTCCACAACGTCCCTCAGCAGGAATCCTCCTCTTCCTCCTTCTCAACGGCAGCAGTGGCTCTGACGCAGCAGCCGGCCAAGCAGGAGGGACCCATAGGTGGTGGTGGCGGGGTCCTTGCTTCTCTCTCCGCAGGCGGGGGGAGGGGCAGGTCTGCAATGCCCCCCACACACACTCAGCAGTAGCAGCAGCCGTCCAGGGAGGGAACTCCAGCCAGCAGGGCAGCCAGAGCAGACTGACCAATGTGATGAGGCTGGTGTCACTGCAGGAGAGCTTTAGCATTGGAGTGAAATCACAAAAAAAGTGGTCCATTTCATTGGGGCCACAGAAAATTAATTGTGACATAAAATACATCATTATTGTACAAGGTAGAAATCCACTTATCCAATACCCCGCTGCTAGTTGGAGGCACAGCCTGCTGTTCATATGGGTTCCATGGTGCAATGGTTTGCATATGGCTAAATACCAATCATAAGACATTGCTGCCAGGAGATAACACTCTGTAGTTGCTAGAAAACAAAAGAAAAAAAACTGTGTCATGCAGCCCCCCACAGAAATGATTCTGTCCCCAGTCAGGAGACTGGCCAGCATCCTAGGCAGGATGGTGGAGGTGTAGCAGGTCTCCAAAAAGGACAAGTTCCCCAGGAAGAAGTACATGGGAGTGTGAAGGTGTTGATCAATCACAACTAGAGCAATAATGAGGAGACTGGCAGCCACGGTCACAATGTAGATCACTAGGAAGACCAGGAAGAGAAGGGTCGGCAGTTCAGGGAGATCCCCAAACCTTAGGAGGATGAATTCTGTGACGGCTGTTGGATTTTCTCCTTCTCCTTTCTCCATGAGCTGTATCGTGTGACAGTGAAAAAGTAATGAGCATCTAAAGATTTGGGTGTACCATGAAATTAGGCAGATTTCCATAATTTGATTCCATAAGGGTTCCAACTGCAAACTGAGAGCTGGTTTTATATTCTCTCATACCAGAGAAACTTCTTTACTTTGAGACTTTTGAATAAAATTTCCCACCCAACCAACGAGCTGCCACCCGGTTCGTTTTCCACTCTTCTGCCCCACACCCCAACTTTTTTCATTAATCTATTCTTAGATTTAAGATCAAAAGGGACCATTCTGGGCTGGAGTTTGGCACAACTGATTAAAAGAGCTTTAAACTAGGAACTTAAAGGAGATGGTTGGGAGATGCTCATGTAATCTCCACACAATATTTTAACCTTGAGATGGAGGAAAATCAAGTGAGAAAGGATACAGAAGTGGAGAAAGGAACAGCAGAGGGTAGGAGAATGGACTTTAAGAGGAAGGATAGTGCTGATACCAATCAGACAGGTGATACTGGCAGTAGAATGACTGTATCCAACCGGGCGAAGCCAAGCAGCAATAACTACAATGTTTGTACACCAGTGCAAGGAGCCTGGGTAACAAAATGGAGGAACTAGAACTACTGGTGCATGAAATGAAGCCAGATATTTTTGGGATAACAGAAACATGGTGGAATAGTAGTCATGATTGTAATAGAGGTATTGAAGGGCTGTTCAGGAAAGACAGAAATAAAGGCAAAGGTGGTGGAGTAGCATTGCATATGAATGCTGAGGTAGACTGTAAAGAAATTAGAAGTGATAGCTTAGATAAGATAGAGTTTGTTTGGATCAAAATCACTTTGGAGAAGAAAGTTACTTATATATCCCTGGGATAGTGCTTGGGGTGTGCTGCAGACCTCAAGGATATGATCTGAATATGGACAGAGACCTTTTTAATGGTTTTAATGAAAAAATACTACTAGGAATTGTGTGGTTATGGGAAAAAAAACAATTACTCAGCTTCTCGTAATTGTTGTTCTTTGAGATGTGGTGTTTAAGTCCATTCCAACCAGGTGTGTGCGCGCGCCGCGTGCAGGCCAGTCAGAAGATTTTCCCTTAGCAGCATCCGTAGGGTTGGCCTGGACACCCCCCAGAAGTCACATCTTCCTGGCCCCCAATATAGTGCCCTGACGACCCCCCACCCCTAAGTTCCTTCTTGCTGGCTACTCCGACAGAGGGGTAGGAGGGTGGGTATTGGAATGGACATGAACAACACATCTCGAAGAATAACAGTTACAAGAAGGTGAGTAACCATTTTTTTCTTCTTCAAGTGCTTGTTCATGTCCCGTTTCAGGCCTGTTGTATGATCAAAAAGTGTATCATAAACTTGTGTATTGAGGACCATGTTGCCGCTCTGCAGATCTCCTGGGTGGGGCCCTGCACCAGGAATGCAGCTGAGGAGGCCTGAGCCCTGGTGGAGTGAATGGTGGAGCCAGCACCTTTACCAGGCCATAAGACTCCCGAATGTATGATGTGATCCACGACGAGATGTGTTGGGATGAGACGCAGAGGCCCTTCATCCTGTCCACCACCTCTATAAATAACTGCATGGACTTTCAGAATGGCTTAGTTCTCTCTATATAGCAGGCCAGCGCTCTGCAGACATCATAGAATCATAGAATCATAGAATATCAGGGTTGGAAGGGACCCCTGAAGGTCATCTAGTCCAACCCCCTGCTCAAAGCAGGACCAATTCCCAGTTAAATCATCCCAGCCAGGGCTTTGTCAAGCCTGACCTTAAAAACCTCTAAGGAAGGAGATTCTACCACCTCCCTAGGTAACGCATTCCAGTGTTTCACCACCCTCTTAGTGAAAAAGTTTTTCCTAATATCCAATCTAAACCTCCCCCTGCAACTTGAGACCATTACTCCTCGTTCTGTCATCTGCTACCATTGAGAACAGTCTAGAGCCATCCTCTTTGGAACCCCCTTTCAGGTAGTTGAAAGCAGCTATCAAATCCCCCCTCATTCTTCTCTTCTGCAGGCTAAACAATCCCAGCTCCCTCAGCCTCTCCTCATAAGTCATGTGTTCTAGACCCCTAATCATTTTTGTTGCCCTTCGCTGGACTCTCTCCAATTTATCCACATCCTTCTTGTAGTGTGGGGCCCAAAACTGGACACAGTACTCCAGATGAGGCCTCACCAATGTCGAATAGAGGGGAACGATCACGTCCCTCGATCTGCTCGCTATGCCCCTACTTATACATCCCAAAATGCCATTGGCCTTCTTGGCAACAAGGGCACACTGCTGACTCATATCCAGCTTCTCGTCCACTGTCACCCCTAGGTCCTTTTCCGCAGAACTGCTGCCTAGCCATTCGTTCCCTAGTCTGTAGCGATGCATTGGATTCTTCCATCCTAAGTGCAGGACCCTGCACTTATCCTTATTGAACCTCATCAGATTTCTTTTGGCCCAATCCTCCAATTTGTCTAGGTCCTTCTGTATCCTATCCCTCCCCTCCAGCGTATCTACCACTCCTCCCAGTTTAGTATCATCCGCAAATTAGCTGAGAGTGCAATCCACACCATCCTCCAGATCATTTATGAACATATTGAACAAAACTGGCCCCAGGACCGACCCTTGGGGCACTCCACTTGATACCGGCTGCCAACTAGACATGGAGCCATTGATCACTACCCGTTGAGCCCGACAATCTAGCCAGCTTTCTACCCACCTTATAGTGCATTCATCCAGCCCATACTTCCTTAACTTGCTGACAAGAATACTGTGGGAGACCGTGTCAAAAGCTTTGCTAAAGTCAAGAAACAATACATCCACTGCTTTCCCTTCATCCACAGAACCAGTAATCTCATCATAAAAGGCAATTAGATTAGTCAGGCATGACCTTCCCTTGGTGAATCCATGCTGGCTGTTCCTGATCACTTTCCTCTCATGCAAGTGCTTCAGGATTGATTCTTTGAGGACCTGCTCCATGATTTTTCCAGGGACTGAGGTGAGGCTGACTGGCCTGTAGTTCCCAGGATCCTCCTTCTTCCCTTTTTTAAAGATTGGCACTACATTAGCCTTTTTCCAGTCATCCGGGACTTCCCCCGTTCGCCACGAGTTTTCAAAGATAATGGCCAATGGCTCTGCAATCACAGCCGCCAATTCCTTCAGCACTCTCGGATGCAACTCGTCCGGCCCCATGGACTTGTGCACGTCCAGCTTTTCTAAATAGTCCCTAACCACCTCTTTCTCCACAGAGGGCTGGCCATCTCTTCCCCATTTTGTGATGCCCAGTGCAGCAGTCTGGGAGCTGGCCTTGTTAGTGAAGACAGAGGCAAAAAAAAGCATTGAGTACATTAGCTTTTTCCACATCCTCTGTCACTAGGTTGCCTCCCTCATTCAGTAAGGGGCCCACACTTTCCTTGGCTTTCTTCTTGTTGCCAACATACCTGAAGAAACCCTTCTTGTTACTCTTGACATCTCTCGCTACCTGCAGCTCCAGGTGCGATTTGGCTTTCCTGATATCATTCCTACATGCCCTTTTGTTGTTAGCCCTGCACTACCTCCACTTGGAATGTTAGTCCTGGGTGGAGGTAAAAAGACAGCAGTAAGGCAAAGACCAGCTTTACCATCAAAATAAATTGTGCAGTCTGACACAGACAAGCATGGAGAATTCCCAGTATCCACCAGAATTCATAAGATGTACGTGGAAAGATTTCCCCCAAATGGTCACTGTCAAGGTTCCTTCCCCACTTTGAACTCTAGGGTACAGATGTGGGGACTTGCATGAAAACCTCCTAAGCTTACTTTTACCAGCTTAGGTTAAACTTCCCCAAGGTACAAACTATTTTACCCTTTGCCCTTGGACTTCCACTGCCACCACCCAACGTCTGATCGGGTTTATTTTATTAGGAAAGAGCCCATTTGGAAACGTCTTTCCCTCCCAAATCCTCCCAACCCTTGCACCCCACTTCCTGGGGAAGGTTTGGTAAAAATCCTCACCAATTTGCATAGGTGACCACAGACCCAAACCCTTGGATCTTAAGAACAATGAAAAAGCATTCAGTTTCTGAAAAGAAGGATTTTAATAGAAGAAGTAAAAAGTAAACAAGAATCACCTCTGTAAAATCAGGATGGTAAATACCTTACAGGGTAATTAGATTCAAAACATAGAAAATCCCTCTAGGCAAAACCTTAAGTTACAAAAAGACACACAGACAGGAATATCCATTCTATTCAGCACAGAATATTTTCTCAGCCATTTAAAGAAATCATAATCTAACGCATATCTAGCTAGATTACTTATTAAATTCGAAGACTCCATTCCTGTTCTGACCCCGGCAAAAGCATCACACAGACAGACACCGACCCTTTGTTTTTCTCCCTCCTCCCAGCTTTTGAAAGTATCTTGTCTCCTCATTGGTCATTTTGGTCAGGTGCCAGCGAGGTTACCTTTAGCTTCTTAACCCTTTACAGGTGAGAGGATTTTTCCTCTAGCCAGGAGGGATTTTAAAGGTGTTTACCCTTCCCTTTATATTTATGACAGTCACACATACCTTTTTTTCCTCTTTCCATTTTGCCACTGAAAAAACAGATAAAGGGGGCAAAAAGGATGGAAGGAGGAAATAAATCATTTATAAAAAAAATCTGATTTAATTAAAAAATATATTTTTTTTAAAAAAAAAGGTTTTAAACAGTTTGATGTAAAACTTTTCTTGCAAAATAAGGCCTTTTTAAAAGGTTTTTTTTTTAATCATTTTTCTCTATTAGTAAGGTTAAATTCAACTTTGATTACCTGTGAGCAACTTAGGATACAGATATTTAGGCACCTAATGGAGCTTTCAATAGTATCTAGATGCTTAACTCTCCGTGGTTCCAATGGAACCATAGATGCTCTCAGTTTCATTTTTGTCCTAATAAATGGCTCACAGTGTCTGCATTGTTGTGCAAAGCAGAAATTTACTTAACCCCTTTCTAAGGCTCTCTTTTACCTCCCGGTTTCTCAGGCTGTAGATGAGGGGATTGAGCAGGGGAGTCAGGACTGTGTAGAAGACAGAGAACACTTTGTTCAGGTCCCTCAGGTTATCATTTTTGGGTAAGACATAAACAATCGTTAGGGACCCATAGAAAACTGTAACCACCATGAGGTGAGAGGAGCAGGTAGAGAAGGCCTTTTGTTTCCCAGTGGCAGACGAGATTCTCAGGATGGTGGTTATAATAGCAACATACGATATAACAGTTAATAGAAATGGGGGGAGAGTAAAAATTGAGGCGAATATGAAAGCTGTAAGTTCCATCAGGCGGGTGTCAGTTCTGGAGAGTTTTAACACAGGGGTGAGATCACAGAAGAAATGGTCAATTTCATTGGGGCCACAGAAAGTTAATTGTGACACCAACAATACTATTATGCTGATAGCTAGAAATGCACTTATCCAAGAGCCAGCTGCTAGCAGTAGACAGAACCTGCTATTCATAAGGGTTGCATAGTGCAGGGGTTTACATATTGCTAAATACCGATCATAAGACATTGCTGCCAGGAGGTAACATTCTGTAGCTCCCAGAGAACCAAAGAAATACATTTGTACCATGCAGCCCCTAAAAGAAATAGTTTTGTCACCAGTTAGGAGACTGGCCAGAATCCTGGGCAGGATGGTTGAGGTGTAGCAGGTCTCCAAGCAGGACAAGTTCCCAAGGAAGAAGTACATGGGAGTGTGAAGTTGTTGATCACCCACAACTAGAGCAAAGATGAGGATGTTCCCAGCCACTGTCACAAAGTAGCTAACTAAAAACAGCAGTAAGAGAAGTATCTGCAGTTCAGGGAGATTTCTGAATCCAAGGAGGATGAATTTTGTGATGGTGGTTTGATTTTCCCACTCTGTGTTTTCTGTTGATTGCATCTAAGGGAGAGAAAACTTGGCAATTTTAACATAACTTAACTTTGTAGCTAATATCTTATATTTAATTCTAGAGTTATTGATATTCCCTTCTCTCTGCTATTTAGCTGCCCAAGAGCTGGGTCTAGAATCCTGATGAGCAAAATGATTTGCATTTCAACTGTATAGCCAACATTATTTCTCTATCTATATAGCCTTTTATTTAGTTCTCATCAGTCTCAATGTCTGATTTGCCTAGTATACAAATTCATTTTTATGCTGGTAACCCACCTCCTTTTATGAGAGTTGATGCGATTATTCTGTTTATCCACAGATCCAGCTGCTGCCATCTTAGCTGGTGTCCTACCTCCTGCTACTCAGTGGAATATGGGCACCTTACTGACTTAGACACTTTTAAAATAGATTCATAGATTCCAAAGCCCGAAGGGACCACTATGATCATCCAGTCTGATCTCTGTATAACACGGGGCATAGAACTTCCCCAAAACAATTCCTAGAATAGATCTTTTAGAACAGTGGTTCTCAATCTTTTTTTCACAGACCACTTCAGAATTGCTGAGGGTCTCAGCAGACCACTTAATGATCTTTCCAAATGTTGCTTGTACTATTAGCTAGCCAAAGCACTTTGGATAAAAGCACTATATAAAAAAACACCTTAGTAATAATGAATTTGTATTTGTTCTACAAACAAAAGCACACAACTCATATTTTAATATTAGTAGTCTTACCTTTATAAAGTGATGGATGTGCCCTCTCTCCCCAGCCATGGCAGCCCCCAAACTGGGGCTGGGAAGGAGGGGGGGTCTCTCACTCTCTCCCACACCACAGCAGCCCCAAACTGGGGCTGGGGAAAGTTGCCCCTTTCTCTGGCTGCCACAGTCCTGCATATCCCAAATTCCCCCATCCCCTCTTCTCACCCCACTTCCCCCTCCCACTCACCCCCTATTCTTCCCAAGGCCACCACCTTACATGTGTGTCTTCTCCAGGGTCCAGGCACTTAATTAGTGGAGCCACGCCAGAGCAGCTCCACTAATTAGGTGGGTGGCCCTTCGTTCTCTTATGTGCGGCCTCCCAGGCATGCATCTTAGAGGGAACTATCCGCGGACCATCTGAACGGAGCTCACGGACCACTGGTGGTCCATGGACCACAGTTTGAGAACCTGTTTTAGAACATCCAATCTTGGTTTAAAAATTTCCTGGGATGGAGATAGATTCAACCACGAATCTTAGTAAATTGTTTCAATGGTTAATTACACTCACTATTAAAAAATTAATTATTTCCAATCTGAATTTGTCTAGCTCCAACTTACCACCATTGGATGGTGTTAGACCTCAATCTGCTAGATTGAAGAGACTGTTATTAAATATTTGTTCCCCTTGTAGATACTTATAGACTGTAATTATGTTACCCCTTTACCTTCTATTTTTTAAGGTAAATAGATTGATCTCCTCAAGCCTTTCACTGCAAGGCATATTTTCTAATCCTTTAATCATTCTTGTGGCTCTTCTCTGAACCCTCTCCAATTTATCAATATTCTTCTGGAATTATGGGCATCAGAACTTGATATAATTTTCTGGCAGCGGTCACACCAGTGCCAAATACAGTGGTAAAATAACCACTCTATTCCGACTTGGCATTCTCCTGTTCATGCATCTTAGGATCGCCTTAGCTCCTAATAATCCCACCCTCACTGTCCGATATGCATTTCTCCGTGACTGTATAATCGCTAGTCTTATGACATAAATCATGAAGTTCCCCCACCATGGCCAGAGCTAGATGCTTCCAATGAAGGAACAAGAGACTTTAATTTACACCAGTGTGAGGGGAAAATGAACCCAAGTGACTCCAGTGGAGTTATTCCTGATTTACACTATGTGAGTGAGAAGAGATTCAGCCCACGCTTCTCATGAGTCAGTACAAAATAAGGCATAGACTCCAAAGGGATTATACACATTTTTTAATGCACATATCCTTCAGTTTAAGTCAAGGAAGTTGATCTCTATCATGAATTTTCATGAGACAAGATGAGTGAGGTAATATCTTTTATTGGACCAACTTCAGCTCTGTGTAAGCTTGAAAGCTTGTCTTTCTGACCAATAGAAGTGGTCCAATAAAATATATTATCTCACCCAGCTTGTCCCGCTAATATCCTGGCTACAACAACACTGCATACATTAGTTTTTATGACAGCTACAGCTGAATTATACAAAGGAGTTAGAGGAGAGGACAACTTGAAAGAGTCATTTATTTTTTCACTAAGGATTTCAATACCTAATTTGCTGCCTGCTATCATAAACCACATATTTACATGAGCCGTTCTTTCTCCCATCATAGATAGATAGATGATAAAAGGGAGAGAGACAGAGACAGAGAAAAAGCTGCATTCAGGTACCCAAATAACTGACTAGATTTTAAAAAGATTTCAGCTCCCAGCAGCTTTCACCACAGAGCGACTAAGAATTTCAAAGAAGCCTAGGGGAGTTAGGCACCTATGGACCAGATTTCCAATGGTAGTTAGGTGTCTAAAGAGGCTCCTAGGGGCCTTTACAAAAAGGCCTAAGCATGTCCTGGATCTAATGCTAATGATTGCAGGGAATGATTTCAATGGAAGTGTAATGGTTTTACTGGGAGTTCAGTGCCAAAATTGCAGATGCGCTTCATTTGTTGTCTTTGGAAATCCCAGTATCGACTCTAGTGGATGCTGAAAAATAGGAGTGATTAAAAAGGTTACGTTACCTTTAAGAATGATGGGTGTAGTATTGAAACACTCTGATCTGATACCTTCACTCAGTATTGTGGAAACTGTTTCCACAGGCTGTCTGAAATCCCCACCTGCTTCTGATGTTTCAGTTCTCTCAGGAAGGAGACCTGGTTCTGGTCTCTTACATTTTATGTTTCACATTGTATACACAGTGTTAGGAAATGAGTGTCTTTCTTGACTCACTATCGAGCCTTCCTATATGAAGATGAATCTCCCTTGGTTCCTTTGCTGCTGGACTTTTCAAATTAATAACAAGGGAACTGTTAATAACATGTCTATTCTCAAAACAGTGCAAACAGCATGGGGATTAGATTTCAGATCTCAAGGGGAAAGTAAAAAAAGAGGAGAGCATGTCTGAGATCAAAATCCCCACATACTCGCAAACACACATTTTATGCTCAGTGTAGAGCCTGTTGAAATAGTCTGCATTTTTGAGGGAGACAGGAAGGGATTATTCCAATTTTTCATTAAATGTGAAATGTTAATAAAAATAAATCGAAATAACTTTTCCTGAACATGTTCATGAAAAGTTCATCTGATTTTTCCAGCTGAAAATCTCAACTTTACAAACATTGGTGAAAAGATTACTAGAACTTTGATGGGGGGGAAGGATGATTTTTGCACACCAATTTGAAAATATCACCTTTAGTCACTGACCTTGGGCTAGATCCACAAAGAGGACATAGACGCAACATTCTTAATGTGCTATGGCAGCTAGTGGAATCCACAGGCCTGAATTTGGTGCCCTGTCTCACAATACAATGCCTGGGGAGAGATGGCCACCTAACCAGCCAATGGGAAATGGCCGGGATAGGGATGTGATCTAAGTCTCCCCCCACAAATTGAGTTAGGTTCCCAAGTCTGGGATGCTGAGAGGCATTTCGCTCAATTCAGAATTTACAGGTGGCATCTCTCTCCTTGAGTTAATCATAGAATCATAGAATATCAGGGTTGGAAGGGACCTCAGGAGGTCATCTAGTCCAACCCCCTGCTCAAAGCAGGACCAATCCCCAACTAAATTATCCCAGCCAGAGCTTTGTCAAGCCTGACCTTAAAAACTTCTAAGGAAGGAGATTCCAGCACCTCCCAAGGTAACGCATTCCAGTGTTTCACCACCCTCCGAGTGAAAAAGTTTTTCCTAATATCCAACCTAAACCTCCCCCACTGCAACTTGACACCATTACTCCTCGTTCTGTCATCTGCTACCATTGAGAACAGTCTAGAGCCATCCTCTTTGGAACCCCCTTTCAGGTAGTTGAAAGGAGCTATCAAATCCCCCCCCCCCATTCTTCTCTTCTGCAGACTAAACAATCCCAGTTCCCTCAGCCTCTCCTCATAAGTCATGTGTTCTAGTCCCCTAATCATTTTTGTTGCCCTCCGCTGGACATTTTCCAATATTTCCACATCCTTCTTGTAGTGTGGGGCCCAAAACTGGACACAGTACTCCAGATGAGTACTCACTTAAGCTCCTACACTTCTTCTCACAGCACATCTGAAGCAGAGAAATTGTAGAATCACAGACTCATGGAAGATTAGGGTTGGAAGAGACCTCCGGAAATCTAGTCCACTCCCCTGCTCAAAGCAGGACCAACCCCAGTTAAATCATCCCAGCCAGGGCATTGTCAAGCCGGGCCATAGCTCACTTCATCGGATGCAACCGTGCTGTAGCTCACGAAAGCTTATGCTCAAATAAATTGGTTAGTCTCTAAGGTGCCACAAGTACTCCTTTTCTTTTTATCAATAATATTGCAATTAAGTGTGACTATGTACCACTAGCAAGCACGTGAATCTGTCTGCAGGATTAGCATCATACACAATCTTCATTGGGCTCAATCCTGCAAGACATCTAAAAGAGGATGTATTGTTTGCCTCTGTTGGAGTTCTGAATGCAGACAAACTGTAGGGATATGTCCACTTAGTCTAAACACTCAAATGTATGCAGTATCATGTCTATTGAGATGAAGAGAGGCACATAAACATAATGGATAAAATTTAAAAACCCCTTCAACCAAGTCTTTCTTTCTTTCTTTCTTTCTTTCTTTCTTTCTTTCTTTCTTTCTTTCTTAGGTTTGCATAAGGTGAGGGTGGCTGTTTGGTGACCCACTGTTGGGAAGGTGTTCTATGCATATGCAGATGGCTCCAATAAGACACATACTTAGACTGTGGAACTCCATGCCAGAGGGAGACATTGAAACCATAAATGTAGGAAGAATCAGAAAGGGATTGCACAAGAAAAATAGC